TTACGTGCTTAATGGCACTGATATAGAAGGCCTGTCTGTAAAACTTGAGAAAACCACTATTACCCATGAATCGATTGGATATACACTTAAAACATCCAGATAGAAATCATTGTTACTTACCACGAGATATCAGTGTTCGGATCCCAATAAAGAGCATCTATGGTGTGTGTGTGTGTGTATGTGTGTGTAGGCATGGTAGTGCAGAATCGAAAGACTTAAAATTCAATCCATGGCAGAGAAACAGCGTCATGATCGTCTTTGCCGCAACATTTACATATAGATGATAAGTAGGATTGGAGAGTGACACATCACAACTCTTCTAGAGAGAATTCCGGTAACTCTGTTTGACTGATGAAGTACAAACCTGAGATAGTTTTGTTCAAGAACATTGAGTATGGATAGGAAAAGTATGAGGCACCAAGAAAATATGAAATCTGATAGTTCACATAGAGAAAGTGGTAAATCAAAGGCATCCGCTTGTTGACCATCGGGAGAGTGTTCATTAGGAGTTTGCACAGTGTATCATTTCAAGTCAATGAAGCTTGTTGCTACAATGATTTTCCTACATTGAATTCCCAAATGACCTTTAACTATGACATATTCATGAGTTGCAGAAGAAGTAATTGTTTATGTGTAAATTGAACACAAGCCCATCTTCAGTTTGATATATTGTCAGGCAATAGGATGATTAGTTAATCGTCTGTGCATACTAACTATGAGGTAATCGAAAGTGAATGACTGAAAGTAATTGCAAAGCCTTAACCGTATGAATGATTTCTGAGTGTAATTGGGCATCAGAAGTATATTTTGACGAAGTAGAGGCATGCCATACTGACTTCTGTGTTCTCGTATATAGCAGACTGTACATAGTGGAAAAGAACTGTGTTGAGTGCTTGTGGATATAACCAGTGAATGGATTTCCTGTCGTACATGGAGCAGATATTCATGAATTCTAACTAGTTTAGCGGGGTAAACGAATACTTTAACTGATTAATTGAAGGGATTCAGTGGAAAGCCTTGGATATTGGTTTCATGCTTGTCAGCACTCATAAACAAGTTGTATCTGCAACGTCATAGGAACTGATATCCTCTAAGGGATTCGAACGCACAGCAACCACTGATGCAGACAGAAATGCCATCTTTTAGCTATTAGGGTCACTGCTGTCCTCCAATAGGAATCGACCAGATGCACTAATTGATGAATGAGGAAGAACCAATTTCATATTGTCTATTCTCATGTAATGACTGAATTCTGTCGATCACCAGGAGTCATAGCATCCTAGTGAACTTCGATGGATGTTAGTTGGTTAAAGGTTATTGACAGAAAGATTTTAAATTACCAATATTTTTTTCTCCTTCAATATTATTCATCTTTTGTTTCAAGAGGATAACTTGAAGATGAGAGTAGTGATGATCTACCCCGAAACATAAACACGACAAAGTTTAAATCATAGAAGATTCATGAAGATGGGGATTTGGGTTAGACAAGATGCATCACGAACAATCTACTCAATCATAGCACATAGCTTCCAATTGATATTTCATACGGAAAAACAGGCAGATGATTTGCCGCTGTTTTGATGGAACTAGAGGAATGAAAATAGTATTATATCTATAGTAATGATGGACAGTAGCTAGCAGTGGAATCCACGATGCATATTTTGTTCTATTTGGGACTCGTCAGCTGGATGTACCTGCTTCCCAGTGAGTGGTATTGTTCCCACCGGGATTCAGTATGGTATCAAAACAATTATACTAAAACTATGCCCGTCTCACAAGAAGTGGCTATCGTGGCCCGGTGGTGTGGTGGATAACGCCATGACGTTTGAAGCAATCGCACCCGAGTCCAAATCCCGGTGGGAACAACATCACTCATTGGGAAGCAGGTACATCCAGCTGACTGGTGAGTCCTAAATAGGACGAAATGCGCATCCTGGATTCCACTGCTAGCCACGATCCATCAACAATATAATAATAACACAGGCAATACCGAGGCATCCGTACAGGAGCCCATATCCCAATAGAGACCGATCAATTCGGTCCAATCAACGACGGTATGACATATAAGCAATCATACATTATCTATTAGTTGAAAATGTTCTCCTTCAAATGTGAACTTTATCGGTACACAATATTAACAGCTCTTTGAAAAACGTTGAAGGGATAGCGAAAGAGGATTATTGAAAGACATATGATCATAAAGAATGTCAATGGTTTTAATTAACGGCATGTTGGTAAATAAGACGTTGACATCAAGTGAATACAACCTCTTATCTTTGATATTAATATCGCTAACATAATCAACAAATTCAAAAGTACCTTCCAAAGCAAAATTACATAATTCATTTCGAATAGGTTGAGGTCTGCTGTCAGTAAAACATATAGTGTATCTTAGCTTATCGTAGTTGAGATGACCAAACACCTGTTGCAAGATACACGTCAACGGAGTGTGGATACACATACATAGGGAGGAGTAATCAAGATATACACTTGAAGGTAGGAGAACATGTACTAAAATGGCTACCAAAAGAGTTGAATATACAAATATTGATAAGTGTAGGTGGCAAACAATCATCATCATCATCATCCATTGCAAATGATATCAATGATATAGGTCACAGGATTAATATTAAAACAGCTTTTACAATTTTGTATAGAAATTATCAAGGGGAGGGTACTTTCTTTTTTTAAAGTGATAGCCATAAACAAATTTAACCTCATATTGTGGGTTTAAAAACCAGTTTGTTATTACGTTAAGTCTACTCTCGTAAGGCTTGTTTTACTGTCATATTTGTCTTTCCCCATTTCCAGTTTTCATACACACTGCCTTAATAAGTGAATATGTTATCCGATTGTTCAAAAGGTTTGGCGGTAATACATCACATTTTTCAGGTAATTTGCATCTTTTAGTTAAGTTATCCAGATTCGCAATGAGTGAACCCTCTTTATGCTCATTTAGCAGTGTACGATATTAAGAATAATCACTCAGTACAGATTAATTCTTTACTTGTTCAATTTTTTGGCAGATATTGAAGGTATAACGTAAAACAGCGACTACACATATTTGAGCCACTACTTTAAAAGTGTACATCGAATTTATTCACTAATTTTAATCCATATGAAATTTTTGAAAAACAAGAACATTAAATATTGTGGAATGAATCCGATTCATTTCATGTGCTCTAAATCTTCCACAGAAAAGAGAAGGATACGCTGGAATGAGGAAGAAGATTTGGATTTCACCGATGACTTATGTCTAATGTCACACAAACTCGGAGATCTACAGGCAAAAACTAACAAGTTGACAGACAGGCAGGGCACTGCAGGGCAGTGAAGACGCGACTTCAAGTGAATGTAGAGAAGACAGAGGGGATGAAGATACCCAACCAACACCATCACCAACAACAACAAGCTCTAGACACCATCAACAGGAGAAAGTTAAAGGAAGTAGCCTCTTTCACATATCTAGGCAGCACTGTTTCAACTACAGGTGGCACAAGCACAGACAAGGACGCCGAAACCAGCCAGTATCGGAACAGCATTCAAGACAGGCGTTCATTAACCTGAAACCAGTGTGGAGATCTATTGCACTGTACTCAGCATGTGGAACAAGATTCGGATTTTTAACACCAACGTCAGTCAAATCAGTGCTTCTGTATGGCTCAGAGACTTGGCGCGTTACGAAAGGGATTTCCAACAAACTACAGATATTCATCAACAACTGCCCTCTACGCTCACTCTTTACTGAAGATCAGATGAGAAGGCGAGAAAGAATAAGAAGGAACTGTGGCTGGCTGGCTGGCTGACTGGCTGACTGGCTGGCTGGCTGACTGGCTGACTGGCTGGCTGGCTGGCTGGCTGGCTGGCTGGCTGGCTGGCTGGCTGGCTGGCTGGCTGGCTGGCTGGCTGGCTGGCTGGCTGGCTGGCTGGCTGGCTGGCTGGCTGGCTGGCTGGCTGGCTGGCTGGCTGGCTGGCTGGCTGGCTGGCTGGCTGGCTGGCTGGCTGGCTGGCTGGCTGGCTGGCTGGCTGGCTGGCTGGCTGGCTGGCTGGCTGGCTGGCTGGCTGGCTGGCTGGCTGGCTGGCTGGCTGGCTGGCTGGCTGGCTGGCTGGCTGGCTGGCTGGCTGGCTGGCTGGCTGGCTGGCTGGCTGGCTGGCTGGCTGGCAACGAACCAACCAACCAACAAAGCAAAGCAAAGCAAACACCTACCACCCAACAAATATGCACTGGAAGGAAGTCGAGATGGATTTGATTGAACATACACTGAGAAGACCATTCGGGGGCATCACGAGCTAGGCCAGTCCGTCGAATGGAGTGTAAGGGGGAAACGACGAGTTGGGCGTGCGAGGTGAGGGTGATATGGGGGAGATCATATGAGGGAGAAATGAGAGCTTGTGGGCAGTTGTGGAGTCAGTTTCCAAAGATTGCAGGGAACAGAGTGTAATGGAGACGTGCTACTGAAGCCGTATGTTCCGTGGTCGACTTTTATTGCCCGGTACACTTCTCCTCCCCTGACTTATGCAGGGTGGAAGAAAGAAATTTGGAACGAAAAACGATTAGCTGATTCCTCTGTTTTAAAGTCAAGTACCATCAATTTAGATGTCTCGAATCTTGAACTAGGTATAACTTTTGAATCTACACGCATAGGCGCAAGCATCAGTAAGCCTAAACTCCTCATTGGAAGTAGAGTTAGGGAACCAAACACCTCCAGAGTAGTTGATGAGGTCATCTGGGAAACATTTGAACACGCTGCCGCTCTGAATTTTGATTCTAAGATAATCTGCGGCAACCTCAATTCCCTTGGAGTAGACTGAAATATATGTATAGGTCCCAGAAACTATAACAGACTTCGTATGCTACTATTACTACTTCTACTGACCATACTTGTGAGTCAATAACTGTTTCCATCTAGATTCGAGTAATTTATATCCTCTCTATCACTACTCTAACTACTCGAAACTCCATTGCCACTACTACTGCGAATTCTAATTCAAATACCAATATGAACGCTGCGCATTCAAAAGATTCAACTACTACCAGCATTGCAAGCATCATTATAACCACTTCAACTTCAACGACGAATTACGGTAATAATGCTGTTATTCTTATCAGAACATTTACTACAACTACAACTACTACTACTACTACTACTACTACTACTACTACTACTACTACTACTACTACTACTACTACTACTACTACTACTACTACTACTACTACTACTACTACTACTACTACTACTACTACTACTACTACTACTACTACTACTACTACTATTACTACTACTACTACTACTACTACTACTACTACTACTACTACTACTACTACTACTACTACTACTACTACTACTACTATTACTACTACTACTACTACTACTACTACTACTACTACTACTACTACTACTACTACTACTATTACTACTACTACTACTACTACTACTACTACTACTACTACTACTACTACTACTACTACTACTACTACTACTACTACTACTACTACTACTACTACTACTACTACTATTACTACTACTACTACTACTACTACTACTACTACTACTACTACTACTACTACTACTACTACTACTACTACTACCACCACCACCAGGATAAACACTCATAATACTTCTTTTACTTAAAGTAAAAGTAGATACTGTTTAATTCAGTGTAACTACCATATTAGTTATTACTGACAGTACAACTACTATTATATTCATCAATCATACTCTCCAAGTAGAAGGACTGGAGATAATTTTGACTAACACGAACCTTCTTTGCATAGTGATATAATACTAGAGGAAGGAAAAAAGGACTTCTGTTGAAAGAGGAGAACATAGCTTTCACAATGACTGAGTCCGCAGTAGTATCCGTAAGGGAAAATACTTGCCAGCCCAATTGATTAAAGGTAACGGTCTGTATTATGGTAGTTGCAGGTTGGTTTTAAAACCGTTGATTCAAGTGCACATGAACTTGCAAGACACCAGTTGTTTGTTTCCGTGTTTCGCATGTGTGCTTTGGTGGGTTAATTTATGCTGCAACCGCGAATCGCTCTGCTTTGATTGGTCGGCGACTGTTAAGATGTCTAATTTGGAAGTTTCATGAGGGTTGACAATCTCTTTCGATAAAACTGTGTTTGTTCCATTTGCAAACTGTACTAGGTCATATACCATGAACAGAACAATGATGATCTCGCTCTATTTAGCATTTTCAATTTGCACTATCGACGAGCTTAGGAGCTGTCGATGAATTCTCTTCATAAGATCACACCCAATGTGATGACATGCTTATGTGCGGATTTGATGTAGGTCAATGAGAAAAGTGAACTGTTGATATACTGCTAATTAGAAGAGTGGTCATATACCTGAAGTGGTTGCTGTAGGTAGGCCAACGTTTAAAATGGAGGAAAACTGCAACGACGTTCTCAGCAAGAATGTCAAATATAGGGTAGACAATGATTTATCTAGTGAAATGGTCAGTTGTAGTATGAGAGTAATTACTTTTGATGCTAGAAGAGATCTTTATAAGTCCACATGCTAAAGAGACTGAGATGAGCCATCCGAAACTGCTTCAACGTCACATCTCCCATACCGCATATAGATGGAGAACTATATGACATGATGAAAATGTCCAGCTTCCTTTCGAGAATATTTTTTTGAATGATGTTCAGAATGCATAATGATTTTGGTTGATGAGAATGATGACACATAACTAAGATTTCGTAATGAAAGATAAACAGGTAGCAATTCTCTGCCAAAAATGTTGTAGCATGTGCACCACAGGACCTATCCTCCTAGAGCAGAATGCTAATGAGACAACGTCGTCATGAATTTATGATTCGAAACATCATCCACTGATACCTAAGGTACACTTGTGAAGAGAAGTAACGATACTGTTGAATTTGTGTGCGACAACATTGAAATCCTTGAAGGTGGTAACTTAACCTTATTCAAAGATTCGCTTGAAGCGCCTATGAAAGTCATAATTTTTAAAATATATTTGAGAAGGCCTGTGGACAATTCTTGAGCCAGTGAGTATGATGGATTTATAGTGGGGTCATGAGTTATACGCTACAGAAATTCGTTGAAATTTCTTTGATGACTACAAAATCTATTACCTGCTCGAATATTATATTTATTTAGCTTGATACCATTGACTGTGAGATGTTTTTAAAGGGATTTCAATGACAGTGTACTGAAAGCACATCTATTCTGATTTAAAGGTTACTCTTCGCAGTTTACAACGTCAAGATGTAGTTTCAAGATGTTTGAAATGTTTCTTTTGGAGTAGTATTTGACATTAGAACATCGTCAATGTACAGAAAGTAAATTCAGAACTTGGATTACTCAGTTCATAGACTGTTTAAATCATTATATTTCAATTCCAAGATGAAAAACCATTACTAGGAATGCAAGTAATTCAAGTGGTGTTATTATCATAATTATCTCAATGGATTCCGTACGGCGATATATTCCTGGTCTGATTAGCATAGATGTAGATAATAAAAGTAATACTAAGACCATTAAATATATTTGTGCCAAGTGATAACTGAAAATGTTTCCTATGTTACAATAGTATGAAAACATCTTGGAAGCTTTATACAAGATTTTCAGTTAACCTGATATTCGACTGTTATCTTCACCAGGAAGTCGGTCTATTTAAAAATATAATATGCTTCACAATACCTTGGTCAAATTAGTTGATGTTGGTCGTTTAAGGTTTCCAACTGCAAAATGAAAATTCATACATCAGAATCAGACCTACAAACAGTTAAAAGTCAACTTAGTTGTAAACAGAGAAAGATTGATATCAGAATACTCGCCTATCTTAACAACAAAGCAATAGCAAACAACAGCAATGATTCAGCATTCATTCTAGACATACAGAAAATCCTACTGCTTCAGTCATCAGAATGACAAGAGAATATGGTGTATATATGAACCATGTCTAAGTTGTAAAGTTACATTGATAAGCCTACGGATAGAAAATTAATTTCTAAGCGACATTAATTCAATAATACTGATGAAATATACCCATTTATTTACTAACAAGAACAAGGCATATGTCAGCGAAGAAGAAGCATCTTCTTTTCAACAACTTCATTATATCAACATACACAGTCATATTTATACTCAATAAAGTAACAGATAATTGCACTGGAAACTTGTTCAGTCAATATGCAAATTGTACAATCAGTGTAGGTGACGGTATTTGTTCAAGTGAAAGAGATAGAAAATCGGTCAGTGAATAAGGAGGGACGAATTGAGATAAGAGACACATGTTGTTAAAGAATTGTAAAACGATGATAATTTGTCTGAAACATGCAAAATAGGTCAATGAATAAGGAAGGAACTGATAATAAAAAGTGAAGTATGGGTCACTTTTTGTCAATGAAGTGACATTTGGTGATAATGATGATGATGAAAGAGAAGTATACCAAAGTGAAGTGAAATGAAATTGACAAAATCAATAAAAAGAGTAGTTGTTAAGGCCAAGGATGGAGAAAGTGGTTCCACAAAACGTTTTTGAATGCTGATGCTTCAGCTGTGCATAAGTGATAGAAAAGTAAACCTTTGAAGTAGTTCAATTTAACTTTAAAGGATGAATCTTGAGGTGCTGAGTGTCCCAATTCAACAAGGTGTTCACATATGGATGAAGTGGTTTTCTTTACTCGCCTCTGGTAAGCCGAACAGGGTAGTGTTTAGCAAAACGTTTTCGAAGGGCCCGCTTACAACGTCCAATATAGTCAACTCCACAAGATCATGTGAACCTGTAGATACACATAGATGTGGACATCAGTGGAAGCCTATCCTTCATTCACTGACTAATCAGACGGTGGCTGGAAAATATCAATCTCAGTCTAGCAGCATACAAGCTACTATTGATACATCTTGACAGACTATTTTTCAGCAGTTCGATTGTGGTGTCTCCTTTGAATTCTAGATTCATGTTTAAGATTTTCTTAAGGACTGTAATGGGATGGGGAGTAGTCCTTTTCTTCACATTCTTATCAATAAATCTCTTTGGGTATTCGTCATTAGATAGTATTATTCTAAGAGTTTTGATTTCAGCATCCACTGTATCTTCTAAACATATTCTGTAGATTTCGGAACACAGTGAATGAATGAGATTTCTTTTACAACTAAGAGGTACCGAAGTATTAAAGTTATTGAACTGACTGGTCTGGGTTGGTTTTCGATAGGCTGACCTTTGAATCGAGCCATCATCCCTTCTCTCTAACGTTTATGTCTAGAAAGTTGAACGTTGAATTTAGCTGTTCCTCTGTAGTGAATTTAATGGATGGATGATAATCATTGAAAATGTCTTAGCAGCCCAATCACTGGACATTTTTCGTCGAAAATAAGAAAAGTGTCAGCGATGTACCTTTTGTACAAATCAAGTTCCGAGATTATTTCTTTAAGTATAAAACCGCAAATAAATAAATAAAAAATGTAATTGTTCTACTACAGTAGCCATGTTTTCTGTGATATTCTTGGAAGGAGTAAATGGAAGTTTGAAAGAAATAATATGCGTGCGATTTGCATAATGTGAACAATTAACCCAAAAGGTTCTGTATTGTCCTAAAAAACTTTGAGTTAAATGAAATACACCCTCAGACGAGTGAAGAATAGCCTTGGTAGCAATGAATAATTTTCTTTACATTTGCTCAAATTATTTTTATGAACAGATTCCTGTTGCAAAGCACCGTGGTCCAATAATTACAGAAGGAAAACTCAGAATGTCGGCTTTTGATAGTAGAATCCTAGATGTGCACATCGTCATGACTAGAACTCGTCAGCTGTAAATTGCTGTATATCACTAAGTCATTGTCTTCATAATGAGTTTCGAAATTAGCAGACATCATTTCGAACACGAGTTCTCGATGTCAATGATCATTACCACTATACAAATAACATCCGAGTGAAATTGAAGCAACATCGAAGCACCCATCTCAGTACAGAACAGTTACTTATCCAGGGGGAATTACCGACGCCAATAAATGAAGTCAAGGATATTCTTGGTGGTGGCAGCTGAATAACTTAAAGGTTTTTTGAACTACACCTATCGTCTTAGTGATTTGAAAGAAACTTTTGAAGTCTCTCTATATCTCAATATAGTCAGACAATATGTAGATCTATGAACTGGCTGAAACATGCAGTTTAACACAAATTAAAGCACATCGTTGCTTGTAACACACTAATATAGGAAGTTGTGAAACATGGTCAGATATCTTGTTTTCCGGTTCTTTTAATTACTGTTACATAGTTAACTGCGGGTAAGTGAATTAGCTAAATTATTCTCAAGTGTAATCATCTCAGTTCTGGATTTGTGTTTGTTCATAGTTATGTCCATGGGTTGCAAATTACTAAGAACAACTCCAATGTCCTTGATATCTGGTTTTGTATTGGATTGAGTTAGTCACGCATATATGAGGAAAAGCTGTGCAAAATGCGGTGAATGTCTAAGACATTTAGGAATAAGTCTATCTAGAGGTTTGTGGAGGTTTATCAATTGATTTTTAGGTTGTAATTCATAACGGACTGACGTCACACGGAGGAACATTGATGAATTCCAACCTAAAATCAATGAATAAACCTCCACAGACCTCTAGATAGAATTAATCTGGCGCTTACTGGTGACT